TGGGTAGCAATCATGATATCATTGTGTCCACTAAGAAAATGCTAACAAAACACTTTGACATGAAGGATATGGGTGTAGCGGATGTAATTCTTGGAATAAAAATCTCTAAAACACCATATGGTCTTGTTCTTTCACAATCTCATTACGTTGAGTCTGTACTAAAGAGATTTGGAGTTTTTGATGAAAGTTCAGTTAAAACTCCAGTAGACACGAGTCTACTAATTCTTGGAATTAAAGTTTCTAAAACACCAGATGGCCTCGTTCTTTCATAATCTCATTATGTTGAGTCTGTGCTAAAGAGATTTGGAGTCTTTGATGAAAGTCCATTCAAAACTCCAGTAGACACGAGTCTACACTTAGCAAAAAATAGAGGTGAACCTGTACATCAATTAAGATATTCTCAGGTTATTGGGAGTTTGATGTATTTAATGAACTGCACACGTCCTGATATAGCGTTCGCAGTTAATAAATTAAGTAGGTTCACATGTAATCCAAGCAATGATCACTGGAAGGCATTGAATAGGGTACTTCGATATTTAAAACATACCTTAAAATTTGGATTACATTATATGAGATATCCAGCAGTATTAGAAGGATATTGTGATGCAAATTGGATATCTGATATGAAAGATTCTAAATCCACAAGTGGTTATATATTTACACTTGGTGGTGCGGCTGTGTCCTGGAAATCCTCAAAGCAAACTTGCATAGCTCGATCAACAATGGAATCAGAGTTTATAGCTTTAGATAAAGCTGGAGAAGAAGCAGAATGGCTTCGTAACTTCTTAGAGGATATTCCGTGTTGGCCTAAGCCGGTGCCTGCAATTTTAGAGGATATTCCATGTTGGCCTAAGCCGGTTTCTGCAATCAGTATTCACTGTGACAATCAGTCGGCTAGTGCAAGGGCACAAAATTGCATGTATAATGGTAAGTCTAGACATATACGTCGTAGACACAATACCATAAAGCAGTTGATCTCAAATGGTATTATCTCCATTGATTATGTGAAATCAAAGGAGAATCTTGCGGATCCGCTTACAAAAGGCCTACCAAGAGATCAAGTATATTATCTATCAAAGGGAATGGGATTAAAGCCGAACATGCATGAATCTTAATGATGGTAACCCAACCTTGTTGACTGGAGATCCCAAGATCTTGGTTCAATGGGACAACTAAGTTATTAAGACTCAGTTAAGCACTTAACCATTCTTTTATTTAAAGTGCTGTCTGCAGAATGTAAAAGGTTAAGTTGTAACTTTTAATGATTCCTATAGCTTGGATAATCCGAGTGGAGTACAGCAGAATACTCTTAATAGGAGATCACCTATATAAGTGTGAAGTGGGGCCGCTTCTATGAGAATTTGGGGCTTAAAATTCTCTAAAGCACTTATGAATCCCGAGAATTGTTCAGGGCCAAAATGAACACAACTATGAGAACCTAAGAATTGAATAGAAAGATTATTGTGTGGATACTGTTGCCTTGGTTTACACCAACGGCTGAACAGTTCAAGACATCAGTTCACTGATTAGCCAAGTAAACTCGATAGTATTCCACTAAGGCAGGTTCAAAGCCAAAAGCTACCTCTCCTGATGCAATAAGTCTTTTGCCTGTACTCTCTGTTCGTGTCTGCATTGCATTTGTCATGTTAATTTCCATTCATGTGGGGGATTGTTGGAAATGGTGCCCATTTGACCACAAGTGGGTCAACTTTGACCACAATTTTATGTGGGACCCAATGTTCGAATTGTTGAAATTTATGTTCAATTAAATTCTACGTTCCGAGTAGATGAGTGTAGAATATTTACTTGTGAAAAACCATTTCAATATGAATGAGAAATTAAGGTTGAAAGTCGGATAATAAATACGAGGAATAAATGAGAAAGAATTGGAAAAGTGTTCCAATCCCACATAGGTTGCAAACACAACCTTGAACCACTTTATAAACTCCAAGGTTGGAAATGGGTTTGGGCCCCAAGGGGTACCAATAGTCTTTGAAAGGGGGGAGTCTTAGACAATGTCTAGACTAACCAACGGCCACACGCGCG